CAGAATTCAATCCCTGGTCGGGGAAGTAGATCCCACGTGCTGCACATAAGGATCTCAGACGCCACAACGAAGATTAAAGATCTCATAAGACCTAGTGCAGCCAAAATATTAATAAATAGCTGGTTTTTTAAAAAGGTGATTCTCATAGAGCTAAGAACTTCAGAGAAGGCAGGGCAGGGCAAGGTGGGAGGTCGAGCACCTTTGGGGCAGATGGTCAAAGAGGGGCACCTAAGGACGTCACCTCGGAGCCGAGCCTTATAGAAATGGCAGGATGCAACCCACCGGGAAACAGCAACAGCAAAGCACCTGTGGTGGGAAGGAGAGTGGGGTGTCTGAGGACAGAGCGAAGACAATATAGCTACGGCCCAGGAGCCAGGGGGCAAGTCCAAAGGGCTGAAATCGGACTGACAGGCCAGGGCCAGCTCACGCGGGCCCCTAGAAGTCCTGCAAATCATTAAAAATAGTAATAAAAACAATATAATAATCATTATTATTACTGCTGCTATAAATAAGATGCCACTTTCCAAAACACCGAGCTTTTCTAACTTAAGAAACACCACGCTCCCCTTCTCCTACTGTTTTTCCACCATCCTCCAATTTGTCATCCTGCTGGAGTGGAAACTGCCAATTCCATTTCAGTCGACGGCTATAAAAAGCACACTGGAGCTGGTGGTGCCGATGACCCAACGTGGGGGCTAAGATTAGCCCAGGAGGCTGTCACCTTTCCTTAATGTGAGAACCAGCTGGGGTTCCCCTTCCTTGGAAAACTTCAACTGTTCCACTCCGCCCCACCCCGCAGCGGCCCGGCCGGCCAAACTGTCCATGGAGATGGGAACGCGGAGCCGTTTTGGAAAAAAGAAGTTGAGCAACAGGGATTCCCCCTGCAGAAGGCGGTCCCGGGCTGGGCGGCGAGTGCTTGGGGTCAAAAGAGCAAGACTGGCTCCCTGCGAATACAAGGGCATCCCCCCCCAACCTGTCGGAGCCTCTGGGGGCCAGACATCCTGCCAGGGAAGCCCTCCACTCCTCCGGGCCCAGGGGCACCTCGCGCGCCCCAGCCTGTCGTTGGCATCGGTCCAGGGACCGCATGCACTCAGGAGTCTTTTCAGTTAGACATCAGACAGTCCTACAAGGACCCCCTGCCCTCAGTGACCCGCTGCAGAACTCGAGAGGCTATCTCAGCACAACATGGCTCAAGTCAGTGGCTCAGAGCAGCTGAAGGATCTCCAGGCAGACTCACCTGGTTCTGACCTTTTTCAGAGTAGAATAGCTAATGATCAGGCTCCCGAGGGGCCAACCCAGCACTGCCATTCACCAGCTGTGTGATCTTTACTCAGTTATTTAACCCCTCTGTGCTCAGTTCCTCAGCAAAAAGAAAAAAAAGAAAAGAATAGTAGCTATCTTCTAGAGCTGTCATGAGGAATCAGACTGTTAATATTAATACCTATCAAGGGCTCAGAATAAGGCTTGGCACCTAGTTTATTATCCCTCATTCTTGTTTTTCAATGTCTCCTGGTTCCATGAGATAAAATCATACTCAGCCTTGTCCTTCCACAGTCTAAATAACAACTGCTAATATTTAACAAGCATCTATGCAAGATGCTAATATTAGAGCCTAAAATGCCAAGCTCCATGCAAAGAGCCTAATCTGTATCATCTCATTTAACTTCCCCATCTCTCAAGTGAAGTAAATCATCTGTATTTTACAAAAGAGGAAATGCTGGCTTAGAGAGGTGAAATGACTTACCCAGGATGGCAAAGCCACCAAACGCACAGATCACAGATTCGAACTCAGGCCATCTGACCTCACAGCTACACTGGTAACCACTGCAGCTGACAAGCCTCCCCGAGTTTGCCACAAGGCCTATGCCTGCGGCAGTATGTGTCCCATAAGTGACCTATGGCCTGAGCAAGGAAAATGCTGGAGAGACCGTAAAAGTAACAAGGAACACTCCTGATGGACTGCGTGCCCACTGCTTGCTGATGCATTTAACTCTGGGAGGGAAAACTGTTAACTCACTGCCTGGAATCGGAGGTCCAGGGAAGCTGAATAACAAGATGATGCTGGATATCATCTGCAGGAAAGGTCCCCAACTTCTCCAGGCTCAGCCACCTGCTTGTCTGGTTAGATGGGACAAGATGCAGAAAGCAGAGGGCTAAGGACACACCCACAGAGAGGAAACGTCATCACTCTTCTTATTAACACGCAGCTTTTCAAAGCTGAAAGAGACTCTGGGTTTTTCTCCCTTCAAGAGGTAAACAAATTTCTTCTGAAACCAAGAGAAGGAAAGCAGGAGAGTAAATGTCTGCCGGCCTTCCATCCTTCCATCCATCCAGCAAATACCTATCTGAGGCCCTTGAGTAGCCTCACAAGTATGTGAGCTCCCAGGACAGTTGAAAGCTGTCTGGCTCCTAGCTCCACAAGGAACTGGGTAGCACCTGGTCCCCGGGCCATCCCTCCACACTTCCAGGAGCCCCCCAAGGAGACTGCTCACCTGGACATGGAGAACAAGCTGTCTGTATATTCTCAGCATTTTCCGCTCTGCCAGTGAGGTGCCTTGAAGCCACACACTTCTTGTGGAAGTCAGCACAAGGCCAGCAGGATGATTTCCTGGTCCTAGAGACCCATCCAAGCTGGGGAGGCTAATACTAACTTGGCTATTTACATTTCATGCCACTCTCCTGCTCGAGAACCCAGCATGAGTCCCTGTTACCTTACTCACGTGCACACTAAGCCAAGGCCGTGTCTCTACCTGGCATCAGGAGACTGCTCTGCTTTGGGCTCTGCTCATCAAAACACTTCCTGGTGATGACCAGCCTCTACTCCAGCCATACAGGTCTGCTCTGTCTCATGAGAGCCCAGCAACTTCTTGCCATAGAGAATGCTGTACACTGTTTCACCGCCTGAAAAATAAAGCCTCCTCCAAAATGTACCAAGATGTGCAATCCCTTTAAACCCAAGACACCACATGTCCACCTCAACCTTAGGAAATAACAGTAACAAACATCATAAGCTAATACATATCGAGCACTTACTAGATACAGCACAGCTTCCACCAAATACTACACCACTCTACACAAAGGACCTGTGCGTTTTCTGCGTTTGGTATCTTTCAGGGTCCTGACACCAACCCATTGCAGACTCTGAGGGACAAGTGAACCAAGCATTTATGCTCTTAATCTCATGACCATCCTATAAGGTGTGACTGTCACCATCCTCATTATACAGAGAAGGAAACTGCTGCTCAGTGAGGTTAAGCAACTTGCCCAAGGTCCCCCAGCAAGGAAGGAGGAGGACTGGGCTTTGAACGCAGGCCGTCTGGCTGGAGCGTGTGAGCCCGCTGACCAAAGGCATGAACAGGAGGCTCATCACAGAGTCACTTACAACAGCACAAATTTGGAAGCAGCTGCATGCCCAGTGAAAGGAGGACGGTTAAATAAAGGATTGGCAACCACAGGACAGATGCAACGCACCCACCTACATGTCCGTGTTCCTCCTCACGACGCCATCACAGCCCCTCGCACCCGCAGGGCCTGACCACGCGCCCTCTGAACCGCTCAAACCCATCCGTCCATCTCCCCACACCACGGCCCTATTTCATGTCACTGTTCTACTGCAACGGCATCAGCAAGCCTCTTTAAAATCATCTGCCTTCTACCGTGCTTCCATGATGTGAGGAAGTAGTTCTCACACCCTGGACACAGGGCCAGCCCATCCCAAGAGCAGGCTCTGGGTGGACGGGGGAGGGCGCAGCCCTTTCAGTGACACTCAGACCCACGATGACCCCGTGTGAATGGCGGCCCCCAGAGGAGGCGCCCTGGTGCAAACCCCACGGTGGACAGCCTGCCTGTTATCTTCTGTGGGTCATGCTCAGGGCGGCAAACAGACAGACATCAACTCGCCTTTGACCTGACCTGAGATCATGTCCATAGGCAAGAAGAAAAAAAAAAAAAAACTCAGCCTAGCACCCATAACAATCAAGCAAATTATATAACCTGATATTTTTCCTACTTCAGACCATGGTCTTTCTACCACGTCCTCATTGGTAAACACATTAACAGAAGGCCCAAATTAAGAAAGGATACACATGTCCATTAAACCTCTCATAGCAAAGGGTGCAAAATTCAAGTACTAATTCAGCACAATTTTTTAAATTAAAAAGCAGGGCATTTCCGGGATGGGCTGAAACCACTACCGGCCCAGTATTGGTGGAAGTTTCCAATTTGTAAGTTTCCGGAAGGTAATTTGAATTCTACAAAGCAATATGTATTTAAAGCTCTCAAAATGACTACCCAAAATCCCACATGGGAATAAACCCAACATAAACAAAAAAAGATACACGTGGAGTTTCATGTGTAAGAAGACTAATTAATTAGTCCTACAAGTATAACCAGATTAACCACAGTATTAGTTACAATAAAAATATAAGCTGCCAATGTTTATTGACTTACAACATACCTGGTGTTGTCATAATTACCTGACACGTATTAACTCGTTTAACCCACGTGACAACCCTATGGGGTAATAACTCTTGCTATAATCATTCTATTCATTAAGAAACAGAGGCACAGAAGAGTCAGGTATTTTGTCTAAGATCACAGAGTGAGCAAGTAGCAAAGGCAGGACGTGAACCCAGGAAACCCAGGGCCTGGATGTACGATACCCAGCGTGCACGATTAATCATTGTGCTGCTGCCTCTCCTGTTTGATAACAGTCTAAAACCTGAAAGAACAAAAAAAGCGTCTCCTATCTGTAAAAAATAATCTTAAAAAAAGAGTTGGGGGTGGGAAAAGCCCTCTCATCCAACCAAACAAGCCAGGTGAGTTAAAATACACCATGGGACATTCACGCAACAGTGGACGGTGTCGATATCAAGATCGCTGGAGACAAGGGAATTTCTCCTGAGTGAGTAAGGAAAACGCTACGCGGTGGGATCTAACCCCCCCCACAGCAAGAAGAAAAGGAGGGCCACTTTCGCACGGCGCGCGGAAGGCGCTCTGACCTGTGGTCTTCTCGGTGAACATGACTTTGGACTCGGCCGTGAAGTTCTGTCCCGTGAGAATCATCTGCTGGCCGCCGTACACCAGGCAGCCGTCGGTGTCCTGTCTCTCCACCATGGGCAGCTCGTGGGCGGACCGCTGGGCTGTGGGCGAGAGAAAAAGACCCGCTGTGATGATGGCAGACACTCGGAACCGTCCCGAGGTCTCACAGGGCACGGGGCACTCTGCCCACCTCTGTCACTGCCAACGCGGAACCCTCACCCCGGCAACTGGTGACGCTGCAAACGCTATGTTCTTGTCAATGTGCCCGAAGTCTTTGGGGCTAATTTTCTCCTAACAACAAGTTAGGAGAGTTCATCTTCATGACTCAAGGAGAGGAGAATAAGAATCTGATTTTTTTAATAAAAGGATAGGCAAATCAACCTTTCTGTAAGAGGTTTCCTTTGCTAGAGGGCACTCTCTTCTGCACTTGATGGCAGCCACACACACGGGGCTCACGCATGTAAACTTGAGGGCCTGATTCCCGAGAGTTTAGATGCCTTGGCCTCGGAACTCATTCGCCATTCTAAACACGGTTCACCGCCATCACATCTCTGACCACATTTTCTCGCACTCCCCTCGCTCACTCCCCTCCAGTCACGCTTCCAGAAAGTTCCCACCGTCTCTGAAACATACACAGCACACTGCTATCTTTGAATGCTGGCACTTTCAGGCCGTCCTCTCTGGAAGGTTCTTCCGCACTCGCCTGCACGGCTGCCTTCCTCACTTCCCCCAGGCTTCTACACAGATGTCACCCCCTCAGGAGAGGCTTTCTTGCCCCACCCTTCCATCCTCCCCCTCACAGCTAACAGTAGGACCACCTGACCATCTGTCTGACGATGCCTCCCCCCTCTCTTTCCTCTTTATCCTGCTCCATCCTGCTTAGTTCATCTCCAGAGAACTTTCCACTTTCAGAAATGCTACCTGTAGCATTCTTGGTTCATCTGCATTTCATCTCCTCCCCGCGAGAAGTAAGCCCAGAAAAGAGGAGCATGGCTTTGCGCGTTTTGTGAGCCCAGGGCTGGGCCCAATGCCCAGGACTCAGTAGGGGGTGCTTGAGATGGATGTAGGGACGGGTGGGTGGATGGGAGGGAGGGAGAGAGGGAATGGAGGAGGAGGGAAGATGGATAGAAGGTAAGAAGGAAAGCCTGATGTGTGAACAGAGACGGATGGGTAGAAGGGGTGGAAGGATTGGTGGATGGAAGGAAGGATGGATGGATGGATGGATACAGGTATGGATACAGATGTATCTCAATATATCTTGACACATATTTATCTCAATATCTCTACATGGCTATCTCTATATCCTCATCTGTATCTGCAATGAGGAATGGGACAGGCTGAGTGTTTAACTACAATGATATACTTGAATGCTCACCGTAACCTTCTAAGGAAAGAAGTATAATGAGATTATATGCCCCTGGGGAGAAAACGGAAGCCTAGAAGTCAGCTATGGTGATGCTGAGATTTGACCTGAGCCCTCAAGAGCTGGTCTGTCCAGCTCCAGAGACCCCTCCCTTTGCCCCTCCGTCCAGCCAGTTCTTCTGGAGGGCGGGCTGCAGGAAAGAGTGAAGACCCTCTCCGGACGCCTGCCCTGGGCAGCGTGAGAAATGGCTCCAGCCGACACGAGGGACCGTCTCCTGGGCCTCGCCTCGGCAGCGTGGGCTGTGAAGGCCGGCCCGCCCCCTGGGTGAGTCAGCTGAGCTCCTGGCGTCCCTCCCAGAGCCCGAGGACTGGGCAGAGGGCCAGCCCTCTCTGTGCCAGGGGCCGGCGGACCGCCCCCTCTGGGAGCCGGGGACACAGCTGCATGAGGCCCGAGGCGCGGGCCTAACCCTGCCCTCCCGGCCGGCCTGGGCCTCCAGGTCCAGCACCCTGTCCCTTCTGCCCTGGAGCCACGTTGAAACCCATGCCTTCAGCAACAACCATGCACGCGGCAACCTTTAAGGAGTCTGCTGTGGATAAGACGCTCCCAGACACTGTACGCTGAAAACATAGCCCAGCGACTCTCAGTGACCTCCCGGCCAGTATCTCCCCATCCCAGGTCCAGCCCAGGCTCTCTGTTCCCAAGGCCCAGCCAGCCAGCGTGGTTCTAAGGGGCTCCCAGTTATGGGCACATATTAAAAAGGCCTCTCGGCAGGAGCTGCTAATTTCTCCCACACGGGCTGGGTTATTAATCCTTTCTTTCAATAGAGGAGTTGTGTGTGACTTCCTAATTGAGCCGCCATCAATGGAGATTTATTAGCAGTGAAAACAGCAGTCACACCACCTAGAAGAGCAGGGCCCAGTTTTTCGGGTCTGCCTTGGATGTGTTTGGGGGGCGAGGAGGGGCTTTTGGTCCCAGGGATGAAGGGGTGGGAAGGCTGCAAGACCCATGCCGCCCCTTCTGCAGGTGGAACGCCTGAGTCATCGCTCCTGGACCAGCCGGCCAAGGGCTCGCGTCCAGCCAGGCCGGGGACTGGACGTGGCCGTGAGCTCTCGGCGCTGGGCGGGAGGCCGGCCCAGCCAGCTGCCCGTGAATCACCAAGCACTGCTGTGAACACAGCTTGGCTACTTCCTGAAGCAGCCTCATCGCTTCTCTCTCCAAAGCCTCATAGGTTCAGGCAACCAACTGATTCTCCCCTGACCGAATCTTCATTTCCCACCCCTTCTCCTTGATGCTTAGTCACTCAGTCGTGTCAGACTCTTCACAACCCCGTGGCCTGTGGCCCACCAGGCTCCTCCGTCCGTGGAATTCTCCAGGCCAGAATGCTGGAGTGGGTGGCCATGCCCCTCTCCACGGGGATCTTCCTGACTCAGGTCTCCCACATTGCAGGCAGATTCTTTACCATCTGAGCCACCAAGGAAACCCCTGCTTCTCACTACCTGAATGAAAACCATCTTTTCTAACAAAAATGTAAAGACAAGAGTCCAGTCTCACTTCCTATAAGCTTTTATCTGAACTGTGGTCTTGCACCTCAAAGTGTGGCCTGCATCCCAGGGACGGGACCGGGGGTGAAGGGTGATATTAGAGATGTAGAACCTTGGGCCCCACCCCAGACCTAGCGAACCTTGTTAAGACTCTGCAGCTTAACAAGGAACCCAGCTGACTCTTATGAGCTGTCAAGGGGGAGAAGTACAGCTTAACCCTGGCTACACATGAGCATCAGCTGGACAGTTGAAACAAACATGATTTTCCAGCCCTAATTCTATCATTTTACAGACAGACAGATGCTCAGACCTCGGCTCCATGGAGGGGCAGCCCCTGCCCGCGTGAGAATGTCGCGTGGGACCGTTCAGCTCAAGTCTCCACCAGGTGATACTGTAGGGGGCTTCCCGGCTCGAAACCTCACGTTGCCCATCTGAAAAACGGGGCTACCAGCAGATCCATCTCACAGGCTGTTGTGAGGGTTAAATGGGAGAATTCACAGAAAGCATATTTGATCTAATAAATCCCGGCCAGTAAAGCAAACACCACGATGCGCCGCAGTTCCTGCAGCAGCTGCCCCGTGCCACCCAATACCTGCGAACTGTGTCCACGTGTTTACACACAGCACCGCGCTCACTGGCGCTGTTTCTGCTGGATCCCGACCCCAAACCCAGGTGTCTTGGGCCCTGAACCCCAGCATTTTTCAAAGTGGGGTTCCCAAGTCACCTGGTTGGGGGAGGCACTTCATAAAAATGCAGCCGCCCAGGCCACGCCCCTAACCCTGGGCCCTGGCATCTCTTGGAGGAGGCTGGGCATTTGCATTTTTACCATCTTTCCAGGCGACCTGTTGCACACACTCTGCAAGAGAGCCAAGCCCCACACGTAAGAGGCCACCTGAGGACTAGGGGACCTCCTCCAGAGGAGGCCCTGCACCCTCAGAGAGCCCAGAGGCAAAGCAGACGAATCCAATTAGCCTCTGAAAGAGGAACTGAGGAGACGCAAACAGCAACCAAAAGTACCCCCGGGTCCGCTTCCTCCTCCCTCTGATGCAAACCCTCTGACACCGAGGGCTGCTTAGTGGGGTGACCCTGTCACGGAGGCAGGGCTCCCCGCAAGCCCACTGGTCCTCCCAGGCCTGCGACACTGCCCCCAACGGCCCCCACCGAGCCCCGTTCTGCCCTTCAACCATTAGCGGGGCCAGCCCCTCCAAGACCCCAGCCCTAGAGCAGTCTAAGCAAGCCCAAGCCGCCATGGGTCAGCAGCTTAAAGCTAAGCCCACAACCCACGCCTCACCTGTGGGCGGAGGCCAGCCCCTCCGCTCCTGCTTAAGCATCAAGGTGGCCCTCGAAGCTGGGAGATTTCCCCCAGGCTTCCCTCCTGCCCCTGGATTCTGGCACGTCATAAAGTGGCTTGGGGCTCCTGGGTTTTACAAGCTCTGAATCAACAGGGCGCTGTTGGTTTAGCCCGTTTGGGTGTTTACTTTCACTAGGAACAGTGGCTGATGGGGAGTCGAGCCGCGGCAGCAAAGACTAAGTGAAGGAAATTCACCCCAGGCGGGTCCTCAGGGTCGGCCTGGACAGGGGACACTGCTGACTGTCTGCCTGCCTGCCATTCTCCGTCACGGGGCTGCCTAGCCAAGAATGGCCCGAGAACCACAGGGGAAAGGAGGAGAGGCAGGCCAAGGAGATCAGGTACGCAGGGTAGGTGCGTTCGGTTAACAGCTGCAAATGGTCACAGCTGCCGAAGAGAGTGCGTTGGATCCCAGAGACTTCTCATGCACGTTTTTCTTTACATTACAAAGCACACGCATAATGGCAATTCATGGTCATGGGTCAGAGGAAGGATACCAACAGGTGACTGCCTGAGTCTGAAGCCCAGCTCGCTGATACCTTAGCTTGGGGAACCTTGGGCAAGTCATTTCAACTCTCCCTGCCTCTGTTTTCTCATCTATAAAATGGGAACGCATCACACGGTGCTGACCTCAGAGGGCTGTTTGCAGATTAAATGAGCTGGCGCACGGGAAGTGTGTGGCACCTCGTCAGAGCTCTGTGAGCGTCAGTTCTGTTTATTTTTATGGCTGAACTTCATGAGACCACAGAGCAGGAACGATTCCCATTCTGGAGCTGAGGGCGCTGAGCCTCCCGGAGGAGGAGCTCCACCCCCCTGGGAGCTCACAGCTACGGAAGGCGGGCTGGCAGA